GCCGACGTAGTCTTCCCTGTGCCCGCGCGGCCTTCCACAAACACGAAGGCTTCGCGACGCCGGTGGCAGCAAGTGAGAATGTGGTCGTAAGCTGTGCGTTGCCCGGGGCATTGGCGAATGCGGGCGAGCAGAGCGGTCGTCGGGGTGGGGGTAGGCGTTGTAGTATCTGAGGGGGGCCCTGCGGTAGCGTCGGCGGGAGCCCCGTCAGTGATCTCGCCCAGCTTCCAATTTTCGTCGCTGTTGCCGTTCTGCAGCCAGGTGGCTCGCAGCAGGACCATGAGATTTTTCTGGGCGGCGCGGACGCCGAGACCTCGGTCCAGGAAGTCCTTCATAAGCGGTCGTTCGTACTTGCGGTAGAGAGACACGGGGGCGGCATCTTGTTCGAGTAGAACCAGGAACGCGAAGCGAAGTTGGGCTGCAGTGTACCGGAGCGCAATGAGCTCGTCGAGCACGGCGTGGGCTTCGTCGTCGCGGACGAATTGGCCCGTGGCCCGTAGCGTCTCCTCGTGAGTAGGATACACCTTGCCGTTGTGCGTCCTGCAATCGGCAAAGGACGCTTTGGGAAAGTTCAGCAGGATGTGTCGGAGGTAGAAGACGTCGCCTTGCTTCGGGAACTTCATCTCGAGGCGGCACCACGGGGGCTCGCCACGCAGCCTCGGGTACACGAAGAACTGTTTTGGCGGAGGGGCGCGGTCCAACACGGCGGCGGCCTGCGATGGGCACGATGGGGGCGTCATGTAGGTTTCAAAATACTCGTGGTAGGCCAATGCGTCGAATGGTGGACCCGCGGGTCGGTAGAAGTACCGTTGAAGTGGTGACACGTGGGCTTCAAGCGCATTGGCCTCCTCTCCTTCCGCGAAAACAATCCATTGTTGTCCGGGCAGGTGCGCGGGCAAGCAGACGACGTGCGGCCATCTGTCGTAGGTGTTGTATCCGAACATGCGCCATGTTGCCTCCGTTGCGCACAGATATCTGCCTTTGAGCCACTCGGAAATCTCGTCGGCAACCTTCGCATCTAGCGTGACGTCGTAGTTCGTCTTGGAAGGGCCTTTGAACAGATATTTGTATAGGTATTCGAAGAGTTCCACCGTCGCTGCGTACTTGACGTTGGCGTGCCCCTCCCAGAGTTGAAGCACTTCGGGGCTGTATTCGACGATGAGCCGATTGAGGCAGACGTCGTGTTTCCCGTACATGGCCCAGCCAGATGGGCAATTCGGGCAGTGGGCGCCGCATGGTCGCCGCCGGTGGTGGGGGTAGCCGCGCGCGTCGAAGACCGTGTCGTCCGAAAACGGCCAGGGGCATCCTTTCACGCAGTCTTGAGCGGGGTCTTGAGGGTGGCAAGAATGGTTGCAGCCGTGGACCATGTGGCGAAGGACGAGTTCGCGGAGTCGTCCGTCTTCGCGGGGTAGCTCACAGGAGATGAGAAGGTCGACCTCGTCCGGAGTGGCGGGCGGGTTGAGGACAGCCAGAGCGATGTGCGCATGTGGAAGGCCGCGGAGCTGGTACTCGATCACTTTGATGAGGTAACGGCGAGCCCCGCAGAAGTAATCCTTCAAGAAAGCGACGATCTTCTGCAGCCGGTCGTGAAAGACGCGGACGACGATGTCGGGTCTGTCGGCGGCGGTTTGTCCGCGGTGCAGTTGACCCACAATCTCTGGCCAGTAGGGGTTGCAAGTCAACGTGATGAAGAACGACGGCGGGCCTTTGCGTCGCGCCAGCTCCAGGGCGTCAGCGCGCAGTCGGCGAAGATGGCGAGGTGATCCTGGGACGCTCGATGGCAGAACGTACTGTTTGCCAACCGTTCCGGCCTTGGCGGGGTCGTTGGCGAGCACCTCGCAGAGCTCCTGGCGAGTGGCGCTACGCTGTCGTTGTTGAAGCTTCCCCTGGAACCCCCACAGCAACGCCCGCACGCCGCGACGCCCATGTCGGCACGCTCCTCACGAGGATCGCACCCGCTTCCTTCCCGTTTTTTTGTTTATTTATTCTTCGTTTTCTTCTTCTTTGCCCGTGCACGCCCATGTCCAAGGCTCCGGGCGCGGCGCCGCACGGAGTCCCCGCGACGCGTGTTGTTCGCCCGGGAGGGGTCCCGGCGACGCGCGCGGGTCGTCCGCTGCGCGGAGCAGACAGAGCTAGCTGGCTGGCTGATGGCGGGCATGGCTGTGGCCGCCGAGCAAAGCGACGACGGGCGCGAGCGAGCTTTTGGGCAGAGCGCAGCGCGGAATTCCCGCGACGCGCGCTGGTCGCCCCGAGAGGGTCCCAGCGACGCGCGCGGGTCGCCCGCGGCGCGAGGCCAAACAGTCAGACCGTCCAGAGACGAGGCTCGGGCGGGCCGCTCCTCGGGTCAAGCTTCGCGGATAAACTCGGCGAAGTTCAGCTCCCTGGCGAGGGCCGCTGCCTCCTTCCTGCACCGCTTCGTGCGCGTGGCAAACTGCCCCAGCTGCTTCCGCAAGCCCTCTGGCGGCCCTGCCAGGAAGAACTCGACGCGCGGCGCCCGCGCAGGAGGTCCTCGTGGCGCGTGGCGCGCGAGAGCAGCGTGCAGAGCTCCAGCCACCAGTCGTCGTTCCCCATCTCGTGGCGGCCGCAGTCCAGGACCACGCCTGGGCGATGTCGGCCGAGGGGGCAGCGCGCCAGACAGCCGACGGCTCAGCGCGAGAGTCCACGGGACCGAGAGAAGGTCTGGTTGCGGACCGCTCAGGCCCAGAAGCTTCGGCTGTAGACTGCCCAGGCGGCGCCGTCCCCTCGCCCCGTCGCCTTCGCGCATGGTGCGCCCCTGGCACGCCGCCATGGCGATGGCCCCGCCGTGCGAGAACGGGAAGCCCGCTCGGTTGACCTTGGAGGTGCGGAGCGTGAACGGCTCCTGCGTGCGGGGCTCGATGAACACCAGCGGGGGTCCGTGAGGTCCCCCGTGAGGCTATCGTCGTGGCGATTGAAGTCGCGCACGAAGGGCGCGCTCGCGTACTTCTCCATGTGCACCCAGAACCCCAGCGGCAAGTGCTTCAGATAGATCATCTTCCCCCCGTCTCTCCCTCGGCTTTCTCGACGTCGTCCCGATCCCGAGGGCCCACGACGATGTGCACGATCTGCCCCTCGGCATCCTTGACGAGGCTTTTCTTGAGGTCCAGCGCCTCCAGGAGCCGGATCCGCATGCCCACGCGCACCGGGAGCAGTCCGTGCACCGGGAGCAGACCGTGCCAAAATGGGGCGGCGACGCCATACAAACTGCGCCACTGGGACCTGAGGTGGAGCTCCCTCCGGGGTCACGAATCGTGTGAGGGGTGTACCAAAATGGAGGGGTGGCGCCATGCGAACTGCGCCACTGGGATCTTCGGTGGAGCTCCTTGTGGGGCCACGAAACGTGTGAGGAGTGTGCCAAAATGGGGCGGCGGCGCCATACAAACTGCGCCGCTGGGACCTGAGGTGGAGTTCCTTATGAGGCCACGAAACGTGTGAGGGGTGTGCACAAATGGGGTGGCGGCGCCGTGCGAACTGCGCCAGTGGGGCCTTCGGTGGAGCCCCCTGTGGGGCCACGAAACGTTTGAGGGGTGTGCACATATGGGGCGGCGGCGCCATGCGAACTGCGCCAGTGGGGCCTTCGGTGGAGCTCCCTATGGGACCACGAAGCGTGCGAGGGGTGTGCCAAATTCGGGCGGCGGCGCCATGCGAACTGGGACCTTCGGTGGAGCTCTGCGGGGCCACGAAGGGTGTGAGGGATGTATCAAAATCGGGCGGCGGCGCCATGCGCACTGCGCCACTGCGACCTTAGGTGGAGCTCCTTGTGGGGCCACGAAACGTGTGAGGAGTGTGCCAACATGGGGCGGCGGCGCCATGCAAACTGCGCCGCTGGGGCCTGAGGTGGAGTTCCTCCCTGTGGGGCCACGAAAAGTGTGAGGGGTGTGCACAAATGGGGCGGCGGCGCCATGCGAACTGCGCCACTGGGGCCTTAGGTGGAGCTCCCTATGGGACCACGAAGCGTGTGAGGGGTGTGCCAAACTCGGGCGGCGGCGCCATGCGAACTGCGCCAGTGCGACCTCAGGTGGGGCTCGTTACGGGGCCACGAGACGTGTGAGGGGTGTGCCAATATGGGGCGGCGGCGCCATGCGACCTGCGCCACTGGGACCTTCGGTGGGGTTCTATGTGGGGCCACGACGGGTGTACGGTAGGTTTGCGTCGTGTCGACCAGCGGCGACCCCAGCGCGGGCGTTCAAAGTTGAACGCCGCCGGCGACCCAGAATCGATCGATGTTGAACGATCGGGCGTTGCGGCTGCGGCCGATCGTTCAAGGTTGAACGATCCCAGCGGTGTCAAAAACCAGCGCTGGGGTCGGCACGACACGAACCTGCCGTAAGGGATGTATCAACATGGGGCGGCGGCGCCATGCGAACTGCGCCACTGGGATCTTCGGTGGAGCTCTTTCTGGGGCCACGAAGCGTGTGAGGAGTGTGCCAAAATGGGACGGCGGCGCCATGCAAACGGCGCCGCTGGGACCTGAGGTGGAGTTCCTCCTTCTGGGGCCACGAAACGTTCGAGGGGTGTGCCACAATTGGGCGGCGGCGCCATGCGAAGTGCGCCAGTGGGACCTTAGGTGGGGCTCCTTATGGGGCCGCGAAGCGTGTGAGATGTGTACCGAAACAGAAACATCATGAGGGCATGGGCAACGATTGGGAGAAGGGGGGGGAAGGAGGGAGGAGGAGGAGGAGGAGGCGGAGGAGGAGGAGGAGGAGGAGGAGGAGGAGGACGAGGAGGAGGAGGAGGAGGAGTAGGTGGAGGAGGAGGAGGAGGAGGACGAGGAGGACGAGGAGGAGGATGAGGAGGCGGCGGGAAGGAGGGATGGAGGAAGGGACGCGGGGCGCTGTCTTTTCAAAACGAGGACCCAGCACCACAGGATGGTTGGGAAATACATATGAGACCCGTACACCCCCCCACCCGAAATTCGGACCCTCGGGTTGGGTTGGGATGGTCTTGTATGTCGTCAAATCGGTTCTACGGCTGTCAGCTGCGAGGCCGGAGTGCGTCGAGGGCCTGCAGGACCTGGGGGCCTTGGAGCCCGTCCAGCAGGCGTGCGCGCGCGCCCCGCCCTTCGCAGCCCGCGGGGCCTGGCTCGGGCCCCCGGCGGCGATCCCCCCAGATCTCGAAGAAGAGAGAACACGGCATTAACATCAACTGTTGGTTCTCCACGCGGATTTCTTGGATCGGCGTTTGGGGCCCCCTGGCGGCGCCTCCAGCGCCGCCCCTGGCGCGCTGGGCCCAGCGCATATCCAAGAAGTCCGCGCGGAACGCGAAAAGGTTATGCATGTGCAAGTTGTTGTTGCTCTTCTTCTTCTTCTTCTTCTTCTTCTTCTTCTTATTCCTCTTCTTCTTTAAAGATCCCCGACGACACACATGTTTTTTTCCAATCGGGGTGTCTGTGCCCTCGATCCCGGAATCCTTGGGGCTTAGAGAGAAGCATGACGGGAGGTGTTTTGCTGCTGTTTTCGGCCTTCTGGGGGCCCGCGCCGGCCTTTGGGAGTGTCGAACGAAGACTCGCGGTGAAGATCCGGTCCTAGGGAAGGGCTGTCCCTCGACAGGGGGAAAATTCAAGAACGGTCAAAACATAGTCTTGGGACCTTTTTTATTTTTTTGTTTGAACATATTTTTGAGCATTTTGGAGGTATTCATTATTCTGCGCCCAAAATCGGCCTGTAGGAGGACCTGCACGACTTAATGCTAGGGGGGGGGGTCGACGTCACGAAAGAAGAGCAAGACCCCGGGGCTCTGGGGCGGGAGCCTGCCCCCAGGCACGTCCTGCTGTTATATGCTGCTCCCATCGCACTTCATAGTGGGACTGTTGTCCACCACCACCACCACAAGTTGGAGGGGAGGAGGAGGAGGAGGAGGAGGAGGAGGAGGAGGAGGAGGAGGAGGAGGCGGAGGAGGAGGACGAGGAGGACGAGGAGGAGGAGGACGACGAAGAGGAGGACGAAGAGGAGGAGGAGGAGGAGAAGGAGGAGGAGGAGGAGGAGGACGAGGAGGAGGAGGAGGAGGAGGTGGAGGAGGAGGAGGACCCCCTCCCCCTCCAACTTATGTTGGTGGTGGTGGTGGAAAACAGGCCCATCAGTTTCGAGCATCCAGAAACGTATCGAAGCAGCGTCGAACGAGTATCGCCTCCCCGGGCCCGCCTCGTGCAAACCCTCCAGTTTCGGTGATCTCTTGGTGCCCGAACTTCTGCCTGGCGATCAAGGCTAAAGTAGTTTGGAAGATCATACGGTGGGAGCGTTGGTTAAGGAACGTGCCCAGGAGGCTGCAGACCCTGGAGGCTTCCTTCCCTGAGGAGGGCGGCGGTGATGTCCCTGGCCGGTCCACGATTGGAGTTCCCCCGGCTTCCAGACCCTGGGTGCCTTATCGAAGGGTTCCTGGCCCAATGCCCCATGCCGCAATCCTGATGGTCCGAAGGACCTCAGGGTCCTCCGGCCGTCACGCGGCCTTCCTCCTCCTCCTCCTCGCCCCCCGCGCGCCTCTGCGCCCCCCCCTGCGCCTCCATTTTCAGCGGATGCGCCCCGCCGTTTGCTTCACCGCCTGCCGGGCCAGGCTCGCCGCAGACCAAGGAGTGTTCTTCCTCGAGTTCGGCTTTGGGCGTGTGTTGTTCCAACCTACTGCAGCCTCGCTCACCAGAGAGAAGTTCGAGCACCAAGAGAACACCGAAACTGGAGGGTTTGCACGAGACGGACCCTGGGAGGCGATACTCGTTCGACACTGCTTCGATACGTTTCTCGGAGCTCGAAATTATTTCTGAGATTTGGGCCTTGAGCATGGTGGGAGCTACATAACCTTGGGCCTGTTCTCGGGCCCCAGAAACGGATCCGGGGCGAAAAGTGCTCCTGGGGAAGATGTGGGGACCTTTGGGGTCGCGCATGCAACAAAAACAAGGCGACTCGTGTCGTGGCCTCGGGCTTCGGTTCCTATCCTGAACAACGATCTGTGGACTAGCGGCATCGGCATCGCTCTGACGTGCGCATTTTTTCTTACCCTGACCCTCTCGAGGTGGGTATAAAAGTTACGACGGGAGGTGTTTCTCAATTTTCGGCTTCTGGGGTCCCTTCCCGGCCCTCGGGACCGTCGAAAAAACGACTCAGGTAATGGGTCGTGACCCCTGGGAGTCGACGTCAGGAAAAAGTCATGACTTCTGGGGCCTCGGCGACGAGGGCCATCAAGCAGGAGGGAAAAAACACACAGACACAATTAATTGTCGATTCCCTTGAAAATGTGAGAAAATATGGAAAGTGGGGGCGTACAAGAACCCAGAAAATATAGGAAATCATGTGGAATGCTATTATTTGTGTGCATTTATTTGCGTGTCCCAGGGCCCCTTCAATCAAGCAGCATCCTGGGTCATCCAGCAAAACAAAACAACACGAAAACGACGACTGCACGGGGAAGGGACGTCCGAGCGGCGGCAAGCAGCTGCCCCCCCCCCCCCAGATTCCCCTCCGGCCTGCACGGGGTCCGACGCCCGATGTCCGCGATGCTGTAGGCGATCTGGTCCCAATTCGATTCCGCGCGCCAGTGCGGGCGCGGTTCTTGGGGGAAAAAGCAATGCCGCAAACATAAAAATTCGGAGGTCCGCGCGGATTTCTCGGATCCGCGCTGGACCTCCCCCGGCGGCGCCTTCGGCGCCGCCCCTGGCGCGCTCCGCGCGCCAGGGAAGGGGGGGTCCAGCGCCGATCCGAGAAATCCGCGCGGACCTCCGAATTGTTATGTTTGTGGCATTGTTTGTTTCCCTGGTTCTGGTTTGATTTCGGTCCGGCCCGTCTCTGCGGCTCGATCCAGTCTGGGGCCCGCCGCCGCCTGTGGGGGGGTTGCGAGTTCCGAGGGTCGATCTGTAGAGGGGGATCGGGGGCTCGGGGGGGCTCGATCTCGACCGAGGGGTCGAGCCCGAGGGAGGGCTCGGGGATGCAAGGTGGAGGCTTTTGGGCGCTGGCGGGCCTTGGGGAGGGTCGCCGCCGAGGCCGTCGCGGTCGTGGTCGTGGCCGCGGCCGAGGCGAGCAAGGGCCCCGAAGGCCCTGCGAGGGGAGATCGGGCCGTGTGCTAAAAGCTGACAGCCCAGCTGCACAAGCTCTGCACTCAGGTGGAGTCTCTTTCCGCCGAGGTCGCCGGAGGTGAAGCAAGCCGTCGTCGTCGTCGTCGTCGTCGTCGTCGTCGTCGTCGTCGTCGTCGTCGTCGTCGTCGTCGTCGTCGTCGTGGCCGCTGCAGCCGTCGCTGCAGGCGTGGCCTCCGCCGTGGCCGCCCGCCGGCGCCCGCCGCCGCGGCCTCGGGGCCGGCCTGCAGGGAGGGGCGGGGGGGGTCAGGGGGCCCTCCGCGGGGAGGGGGGGGGGAGGTCCAGTCTCCTCGGGCGGGTGTTGTTGGCGGCGAGCGAGGGGGGGACGTGAGAGGCAGAGGGCCCTCGCAGAGGGTCCGGAAGTCCCGGTGCCTCCTGAGCTGTTCTCGTACGCCTGCTCCGAAGGCAGGGAGAGCTTCTCAGAAGGCGGGGGCTTCTGAGGAGTCCCGCCGCCTTCTGAGAAGGCCTTCTCCTTCTCACCTTCCCCCCTCGCTTGCCGCCCCAGGGTGGCGGCGTGAGGTGGCCGGAGTGGGCGGCCCTGCAGGAGCCCTTCCGGGCCCCCTCCGGGGCCCCCGCGGGCTCCCAGGAAGGGGCTCGGCGGGGCTCCTTGAGGCCCTTCTCTTCAGCCCCCACTTGGGTTAAGTCGGGCCTGTCCCCCTACCGGGGGATTTTCGATGAAAAAATAAAACATACCCCGAAAATACCCCAAAAAGATAACAGAAATAGTAAAAAAATAGTCCCAAGACTATTTTTGGACCAACTTAACAAAAAAACAAAAATTGGGGTATTTTTTCTTTTTCGTGGCAAATCCCCCTGTAGGGGGACAGGCCCGACTTAACACTTGGGTCGCCCGCCATTGCCGCCCGCCCGATTTCCGGAGGAGGGGGGGGGACTTGGGGAGGCCGGACATCGAGAGGAGGCCCACCAAGACAAGTTCACCGAGGAAATCTGCACCGCTTCACCTGATGCTGGCACTCGGGGGCGCCAGTTCAGTCCGCAGTCGGTTCCGCTAATCGGCGTGCGCTTCGCCGGATAGATTTGGCAGTTGGGCGCCGGTCAGCTACCTCCCGCTGGGGGTCCACTCGGAACGCAGTGCCGTGTGCACATGGAGCGCCCCCGGCAGCCTTCACCGCAGGGCGTTGTGCCAAAGGGGTTGCTGTCCACCTGCGAGGAGGGGTCCCGGTTTCCGGCGAGAGGGGGTTTGGACGTTACGATGCAAGGCGATGGTGAATGATGTTCTCTGCAGTCTCCTCCTTCCCGCCTTTCATCCTTCTGCCCTCCGTCCTCCTTTCTCCTTCCCTCCGCTTTCCTAACTACCATCGTTATTCCTTCTTGCTCCCTTTTCCTCCTCCTCGCCCCCTTTCTCTTCGTGGCTGTTCATGATATTAGTCCTTCTTGCCTCTCCGCCTCCAACCTCTTCCTCCCTCCTCGTTCCTCCTCATTCCCCCTCCTCCCTCCTTCTCCCTCAACGGTGGCCACTCATATGATGTCCTCCTGAGGTAGCATGTTCCGACATAGTCGGCTCATGGGGTGCTTCTTTGGTACCACCCCCGGGCGGCTGCGCATCTTCCCTCTTCGTCCCTGCTCCTCTTCCCTTCCCTCTGCCCCTGGGCAACGCCCTAGATGCCCGCTGTCACCCTCAGAACCCCTCCAGAATAGATTACATCCACGCTTTGGAGTGCTCCCTGGACCCCGGTTGGGAGAGTGGGGGGGCGAAGAGGGAAGTCAGCGGGGCGGCAGTTCGATCAGCGGGACGTGGGTGTCGGAGTCATGTCTGAAGGACGTCTCTTCCCCTTCCTTCCTCCTGCCTCCACTCTTTCCCTGCTCCCTCCTTTTTCCCCCTGCCCCCGCTGGTGCCGCAGGTGACCCGGGAGATGCTGGGATTCAGGCGGGCCCTTTCTCGAGGCATGAAGGTGGAGGCGGAGGAGA